GGGGATAAAGTCAGGGCCACATTATGACGTTCGTGGCCATAGGCAATTTTGTCTTCTTGGGCCCCTTCCCCTGTTAAAAGCATATTAAAAATTATAGTTAATGACAGCATTGATATAAAGATGAATATAATCCAAGTTGGATTATATGCGTTTTTTCTTCTGATTTTAAAGAAATTAAAACATTTTCATAAGCCCCTAAAAGTATCACGGGCCCTAGACACCTTATCTACTATGCCTACGTGATGTCAGCCTGGGGTATAGCAATAAATAAAAAAGACAAAAATCCTTCCCGTTGTGGAAGGATTGTTTATAATAAACAAGATTTTGTATGCTGATAAATGATAGAGCAAGTAACAAAAATGTGCTTATTTAGATTGAGTGGTCAAAAAAGAACTTTCTGAAGAGGTTACATGTTTTTTTTTAATATTTTTATTAATTTCAGAAAGGCAGAGAGAGGGAGAGAAATAGAAACATCAATGATGAGAATCATTCGTCGGCTGCCTCCTGCATGCCCCACACTGGGGATCGAGCCTGCAACCAGGGCATGTGCCTGACTGGGAATTGAACTGTGACCTCCTGGTTCATAGGTTCAACCACTGAACCACGTCAGCTGGGCAGTTACATATTTTTTAAATCCTCCCCTGAGGATATGTTTATTGATTTTTTTTTTTTTTTAGAGAAAGAGAAATATTTATGTGAGTTCAGTTGCTTCCCATACACGCCCCAATTGGGGATCGAACCCGCAACTTGGTATGTGCCCTGACCAACAACACTCCAACCAACTGAGCCACTTGGCCAGGGCTAAAGAGGTTACATTTTAGATCAGCGGTGAATGGGAAAAAAGAAACCATCCATGCAAAAATCAGGGCAAAAGAACATTCAAATGGAGGGAATAGTAAGACCCTAAGGCAGAAATAAACTTGGCAGTTTAGAAAAACAGAAAAGGGATCCATGTGGCTGGAGCTGACCTGTCCCCCACAGACCCAGAGGGCAGAGCTGGGGTAAGTGGGTGAAAAGTATAGAGACTATGAAGAAAGAACTTGACTAAAACTATAACCATCAGCAAGGAAAGGGGCAGCCTTGGGAGGGAGGATCTGGCTCCCAGAGGCCCCTGTGAGCAGAGCCCAGGTCACACCAATTCAGAACTACTGCCCAGAAGATGCCAGGATTTTGTGATTCTTAACCACCCCTTTGTTCCCTCCAAAAAATGTTCGCATAGAAGGCTTTCTTGGTGCTTTGCAAAACCCAGAGGAAACACCCAGGGACTATAGTTAGTATGAAACCCCTTTGTCTGACACTAGGCCTGGATATTTTTTCGTCCTTGCTTCCTGTGTTGCTTCTCGCGGCTCCTCTAGAATGGAAGAAAAGTGATATGCAGAGAATATCAGGGCTAGACAGGACATTACAGATCAGCCTACCCAGTTTTCCTCCAAGGACAGAACCCCAACTCTTCAAAGTTACGGTGTCTACCAGGAAGTAACTAGAGACCAATTGCTGATATATTTTCCTTTCATTCCTTCATTCAGGCGACTAATATGTATCATTTTATGTATTCATAGTGGTTTTGAGGAGATGAACTAATGATGTCATCCCCTGTGTAAAGCCCTTTAATGGCTTCCTGTTGATCTTAGAACAAAGGCAAAACTCTTCTGTACTGAGCCTACAAGACCCTGCCTCTTCTGGCCTCTGAATCCTTCTGCAGTCTTGTCTCACCCTACAGGACTCTTTGCTTTCTCTGCTGCAGACACTACAAGTTTATTTCTTTTGGATTCTCCATGCGTTCTTGTGCCACAGGGCCTTTGCATACGTTCCCTCTACCTGAAATGTTTTCTTTTGCTCTTTACCTATATATTTCCTCCAATCCTTCAGGACAGGTTCTGGCCAGGTTTACTTCTTCAGAGAAAACCTCATTGATTAGACGAAAGCCAAGAGTCAAAGCTATGCCCTGGCTGTTTTGGTTCAGTGGATAGTGTTGGCCCATGGACTGAAGGGTCACAGGTTTGATTCCCGGTCAGGGGTGCATGTCTTGGTTGCAGGCTCTTATTTCTTTGTTTTTGGAAGAGCAAAAGCTAAAATTCATTTGATTCATTCAGGGTTCATTAATAGTCCATTTTGCCCTGGCTGGTTTTTCTCAGTGGTAAGAGCTTTGGCCCCTGGAATAAAGGGTTCTGGGTTCAGTTCTGGTCAAGGGTACTTACCTTGGTTGCAGGTTCAATCCCTGGCCCTGGTCAGGGCTTGTGCAGGAGGCAACCAATCCATGTCTCTCACATCAATGTTTCTCTCTCTCTGTATCCCCCCTCCCTTCCACTTCTCTAAAAATCAGTAAAAAATATCCTCAGGTGAGGATTAACAAAAACAAAACACAAAGCTATTCCAAGCTTCCATAACAGCAAGCAACACCTCGCCTTTGTCTCCATCGGATCAACGTCATGGACATATGACTCATGTAGTCACAGGGTCCTGAGCTTAGAAGAGCCCAATGCTTGGTTTCATGCTCTGCTCTCACCATCTTGAAATTATCAGTTTTTGAACGAGGAGTCCCACATTTTATTTATTTATTTTATTTTGTAGTACTGCTCCCCAAACAAGTTATGTAGCTTGTTTTGGTCCTAGTTGCAATTTTATGTTTGTTTGTGTGACAGTTTGATTAATGACTTTATTCCTAACTATATTGTGGGCTCCAGAAGGGGCTGTGTTTGTTTTTTATATTTTTACTAGTGGCCTGGTGCACGAAATTTGTGCACATTAAAAAGGAATTAATTAGAGGAAATATTTTAACATTGCTGTTCACGTCCCCCACCCACCAACACTGCAAGTCCCTGCCCCCCTGCACTTCCGCCTGCCTCGCATGCAGCCTCCTGCTGTTTGGTCCTTACGGTGTCAAGGCGTGATGACCATTTGCATATTAGCCTTTTATTACTATGATTCCTACCACCTATCACAGTTCCTAGCACATAGTTGGTGCCCAATAAGTAACTGTTGAATGAATGAGTGAGAAAGATATTTTCAGGATGTCACAGTTTGGTGAGGGAGTTAGTGTGTCTATCTAAATTACACACATATGCCATTGCTCATGCTACTCCTTCAGGAATCCCCAAACACCTGTCTCCATCAATCCTTTTTTCTCCTTCCTGCAGGGCCCAGTTCAAAAGCCACCTGCCCCAACCTCCCTTGCCTTCCTGCCTGGCCCTGGGCTGGCAGAAAGAGAAACATTCTCCAATGTCTTTGTGTCTCCATCTGTTAGGAGAGGGTATGGAGGTGTGCGTGTATGGGCATATTATGAATTATTAATCCAGGGATTAGATCCCAGAAGTTCATCTGCCCAGGAGTCAACTGCTTTCATGCCCTTTTTTGTTGTTGTTAATCCTCACCATAGAATATTTTTTCCATTGATTTTTAGAGAGAGTGGAAGAGAGGAGGAGAGACAGAGAGAGAGAGAGAAACACATGGATTGGTTCCTTCCCAAACACGCCCTCACCAGGGCCAAGGCCTGCAACTGAGGTACGTGCCCTTGACCGGAATTGAACCCGAGACCCTTTAGTCCATGGGCTGACACTATCCACTGAGCCGCACCAGCTGGGGCATGCCTTTTTTTAATCCACTCATTTAGCAAACATGGACTGAGGTCCTGCAGTATACCAGACCCTGTTCTAGGTGCTAGAGATACAGTGGTGCCCCCCACCCAGCTCTCAGCCCAGTTCAGGGATCAGAGAAGATCATGAACCCCGGGGCTGGGGGACCATAGCAAAGATACCTCACCTCCCTGTGCAGTTAGGGTCAGACAATGGGCGAGAACCAAAGGAAGTAAGAGAATGGCCCGCCAGGCCAGGCCATGAGGGGTATTGTAAGCCACATTGAGAGTTTTTGCGTCTTTTAAAATGTTTATTAAGTTGCTTGGGGTGACATTGGTCAACATGAGTATGTAGGTTTCGGGCGTGAGTTTCTAAGTTACAAGTTCTGTATATTGCACCGTGTGCCCACCTCCCAAATGTTGAGGGTTTAAATTTGATCCTTAATAATGGGATGGCATTGAGAGGTTTGAAGCACCCATTAGGCAACTAATGTGTCAGGTTCTATGCTGGGTGATTTCACACGCTCTAATTTATTTAGTCCTCTTGCTAATCCTCTGACCCCGAATGAATATCCTCATTCCCATTGCACAGATGAGAAAACTATGGTCAGATTCATATTTCAGAAAGATCACTTTGATTCTCCTCCAGTGGTCGGCAAACTGCGGCTCGGCAAACCGCAGCTTGCGAGCCACATGCGGCTCTTTGGCCCCTTGAGCGTGGCTCTTCCACAAAATACCGACTTCTGCGCATGGGCCACGAAGTTTCAACCGCACTGTACGTGTGCATCCGCACGTGGTATTTTGTGGAAGAGCCACACTCAAGGGGCCAAAGAACCGCATGTGGCTCGCGAGCCGCGGTTTGCCGACCACGGTCCTAGACAGTATGGATTGTAGGAGGCCAGGTGGGAAGCTGGGAGACCCATGAGTATGTCAGTAAATGGACTGAGCCAGGGGCTGCAGGGATGGAGAGAAGGGATCAGAGGAGGAATGGACAAGATTTGGTGACTGATTGGACAGGGGATAAGGGATGCTGTCCAGATGATGCCCAGGACTCTGTCTCAGGTGCCTGGGATGGGGGACATCCCTGAGATGAGGAACAATGAGACAGGAGGTTTGGGATTCAGATACCAAATTCCATTTTGGATGTTTTAATCAAAACCTGTTTTGGGCCCTAATCGGTTTGGCTCAGTGGATAGAGCATCGGCCTGCAGACTGAAGGGTAACAGGTTCAATTCCAGTCAAGGGCATGTACCTTGATTGTGGGCACATCCCCCAGTAGGGAGTGTGCAGGAGGCAGCTGATCAATGCTTCTCTCTCATCAATGTTTCTAACTCTCTATCCCTCTCCCTTCCTCTTTGTAAAAAAATCAATAAAATGTATATTTAAAAAAAACAACACAAAATAAAAACAAACAAACCTGTTTTTGTCCCAACACAGGAAGCAAAGAAAAAACCACACCGGCAAACTTCATGAGTTGGCATTGCTGCTACCCCTGGCCCCGAAGACCAGTAGCAAGAAGCTTACCAAGGTAAGTGGACCGAAGGAGAGGAGGTGGATTTGGGAGGTAGATTTTAAAATGTCAGTAAGCTGGTTAACTTCCCTTGTCCTGAGAAACCTAGACAGACCCTCTCAGTGACAGCGCTGAAATGGGAATGGGAATTCCTGGGAGTCTTGGAGCACATAACTGCAAGATTCTTTCTCGCAACGGAGGCAGGAGGAGATGGGAGGGGAAAACAGGCAAGGAGCCAGGTAGAGGTCATTGCTTTGGGAGTCAACCAGCCAGGGTTTGCGCCCTCCAGCTCCATAACCACAGAACCCTGGGCAGGCCACTCAGGTTATCGGCCTCTCAAGCTTTGTGTTTCTCAGCTGTAAAATTAATAAAGATAACGCCTCCTACCCAGAGATATGGTGAAGCCAAAATGACACAATAGCCATGACAGGCCCTGAATAAATGTCGGTTCCCTCCCTGTTGTGTGACCCGTGGGTATCATCCCCACCCGGTAGAAACAGACGAAGCTTCTCTGCGTGTCCCCATCGGCTATTCAATACATGTAGATGGTGCTGAGCTAACACCTCACTCCCAGTGGGAACAACCTACTGGGAGACTCGGAGATCCTGAAAGCTTGGTGTGATGTTGTCTTGCTATAGTTCCTCTCATTCAGTCATTCATTCATTCATCAGCCATTTTATGGAAAGATTATTGGGTGTCAGAGCTTTTATGATTGTGACAAGGGGAGGGAAAGAAATTTGAGACCCAGTCCTCATCTTCTGGGAACTCAGAATCTGGCAGGAAGATAAAGCTTTGAACACAGGAGTAACTGGTCCCAGCTAGAGGTGCTACTTGCCTCCAGGGAGGGTCAGAGGAGCAGGTGTTTTGGAAAGATTTGCCAGACCCCAACCCTGCCTGCCACATTCCATCAGTCCCCAGTCATGTTGATTCTCCCCCTAAATATCTCTCCATCATGGGTGCTTATATTATTATTTTATTATTTTTGTTGTTAATCACCTGAGGATATTTTTCCATTGATCTTTTAGAGAGAGTGGAATAGAGAGGGAAAGACAGAGAGAAATATCTATGTGAGAGAAACACATAGATTGGTTGCCCCCTGCATGTGTCCTGACCAGGGCCCGGGCCGGGGAGGAGCCTGCAGCCCAGGTACGTGCCCTTGACTGGAATCGAACCCGGGACCCTTTGGTCCACAGGCGGACGCTCTATCCACTGAGCCAAGACGGCTAGGGCCTTATATTAGTTTCTTGTTGCTACTGTAACAAATTACCACAAATTCAGTGTTTAAACCAACACAAATTTATTCTCCTTCAGTTCTGGAGGTCAGAAATCCAAAATTAGTCTCACTGGTCTAAAGTCAGGGTGTCAGCAGACTTGGTTCCTCTTGGAGGCTCCAGGGAGAATGTGTTTTCTTTCCTTTGCCAACTTCTAGAGGTCACCTATGTTCCCTGGCTCAGGGCCCCTTCAAAGCCAGAAGAGTAGTATTTTCAAATCTCGTCTTCTCTCTCTTTGCTTCCGTTGTCATTCACCTTCTCTGCCTTTGACCCTCCTGCCTCCAGCTTATCAGAAACCCCTGTGATTACAGTGGGCCCACTGAGATGATCCAGAATAACCTCCCCATCTGAAGGTCCTTATTCAGTCACACCCAGCTCATCTGCAAGGTCCCCTTAAGGCAACATAATCACAGGTTCTGGGGACGAGGACATGGATGTTTTGGGGAGAGGCATTACACAGACCACCACGGTGCTCAAAAATACTGGAGGGGTTTTATCCTCTGTCGTCAATCATTGGAGTATTTGGTACACAGATGCTGTCCTAAGCTCTTGGCAGGAAGGGCAGAGATGTCTGGGACACAGTCCCTGCTCTGGAGGAATGACCTTCTAGTCAGAGGACAGGCATAATTATATCACTGACCAGATGGCCTCATCTCCTCATGGAATTCTCCCCAGGCCCCCACCTTCATCCTTCCTGAAGTTCAGTCCTGGGACCCTGCTCCACATACAACCTGAGTTCCTGTCAGTTCCCAGCTTCCCACGTGACCAGTCTGCTTAAAGTGCATCACAGTTCATCAGGGCTATGGGACCTGCTCAGTCTGCTGCTCAGTGAACTAATGGGGGCTATAATGTGTGGCCTCTCCTGCGTTGGAGACGGGCTGCAGCTTAGATCTGTGACATCCTAACACCATTCTGGCTGATTAAGCGGCCCCTGCCCTGTATGATGCTGTAGCTGCTTCCTCTGGCCACCAAAGCCTTGTATCTCTGACCCCCTTTACATGAAGAGTGCTGAGATGGCAAGGACCATAATAGATAAGTCTCTATCCCCAGTGCTCCACAGGGCCTAGCATAGAGCAGATAATAACAATTGAACAATTGCTCCCAACAGACTGAGAGTTCTAGGTGTCAGGCCCTGAATGCCAAATGTTTTATATACATTTTTTTATTTAATCCTCCCCACAAGGCTTTTGCGATGCATATGTTTATGCTCATTTTTTGGTTTGAGGAAACTGAAGCACAGAGTGGTCATATTGCGCAGAGGAACACAGCCAGCTTACAGTGAGAGAGAGGCAGATGTATCTCTTTCCAAAGGCCCACATCCTCAACCAGTCTGTCATTCGGTGCTCAATAGATGTTTGTTGAATGAATGAATGAATGAATTTCCTCTGTTGAGGAAGTTGCAGGACCTGTCCATCTCACCCTCAGAAGATCTTTGGTGAAGTTCCCAAGCTAAGAAGTTTCAATTGCTGAGCCTCTGTCCTGAAATCAGAGATGAGGCCCAATATCCTCCTGCATGAAACCTTTATACTAGTAATAATGAGTCACATTTTATACTACTTTACAGTTTGCAAAGACTTCAGCTTACGAGTGCCCACCATGTGCCAAGCCTGGTGTTGGAGATACTAAGCTAAAAATATAGTATCTGCTCTGGAAAAAACCCTGGTCTAGTTACAAAAAGTTAGAAAAGGGTCTCATTTAGTCCCCTGAGAACTTACTGAAGGTACTCTCATTGTCATCAACTAAGCATTTATTAGGCAACTATCGTATCAGGCTCTGCGCTGGGCGATTTCACACACACTAATTTATTTACTCCTAATGATAATCCTCTGAGCCTGAATGAGCATCTCATCCCCGTTGCACAGATGAGGAAACCGAGGCTCAAAGAAGTAAAACAACCTGCTCCCATCACACAGCCAATAAGTGGCAGATTGGAACCAGGCCCTTCCAAACTGATAGTCCCTTGCTGGTGTCACATGTATTCCTTAGTTAGATCACAGCTTCCTTTCGTGGATCAGGTTAAATAATTTCAGTGACTGTCTGTATCGCATTTTATGGAACGGTTTCACCTAAGTCCCCTCTAGAGACCATGCTTGGGTTTGGAAGATTACTACTAATGGTTTTATTGTTATTCTAGGGATCTAGTACGATCCAAAAAATACCTATTGATGTTCTTCCCTCATGTCTTGACCAGGCTAACTCCTTTCATTATTCAGGTCTCAATTTAAATGCTGCTGGTTCCAAAGGGACTTTCTGGACATCTAAGTTTAGTTGCAGAATCCCTTGTTTGTACTCTTTTATTCATAATGCTTAATGATAATTTTGTATGATTTATGAGTTTATTAAGTCTGCTGCCCTCATTATATGGTAAGTTCCATGAAGGCAAACAAAAGTATGTCTAGGTCATCCTTCCATACTTGGCCCTTAGTGGGGAGTAGTCTTTTTTGTTTGTTTTGTTAATCCTCACACGAGGATATTTTTCCACTGATTTTTAGGGAGAGTGGAAGAGAGAGGGAAAGATAGAGAGAAACATCGATGTGAGAGAAATACATCAATTGGTTGCCTCCTGCACGTGCCCTGACCAGGGGAGGAGCCTGCAACCAAGGTAAGTGCCCTTGACTGGAATTGAACCCAGTACCCTTTGGTCTGCAGGCTGACGCCTATCCACTGAGCCAAACCGGCTAGGGCAGGAGTAGTCTTTTTTAGCTTAGTAGCTCCAATACCAATACCAAGCAGTTTTTGATGGCTGGATGGGTGATGCCTGGTGGGCAGGAGTCTTCGTGCTTGGTGCTGTGGGGAAGATTCACTACTTTAGCAGTCATTGGCTAAGCCACCTCTCGATTCTGTGTGCTTGAGATATAGAAATCAACTAGTTATAGTCTCTACCCTCAGCTAATCCAAGGTCAGTGGAAAGGAATGATGTGTGAACAGATAATTATAAGACAGTGTGGCAAGTGCCTTGGTGGAATCAGGCCAGGGTGTTACAAGAGTGCCTAGGAGGGACATCTGACCCAGCCTGGGCGAGAGGGGTCAGGAAGGAGGGGAAGCTTCTGGAAGCTCAAAGGAGATGCCAGGAGAGGGAGTATGTGGCAAGAAGAGGAAGGCTTTGCAGAAAGACAATACAGCATGTGCAAAGGGCCAGGGGTGGGAGCTGAACAGTGTGCCGAAAAACTGGACCTGGGTTTAGATCCCAGCTTGGCCATGTCCTCTCTGTAACCTTAGCAAATGCCATTACACTCTGAGCCTCAGTTTCCCTACTTGGAACGCTACCTTGCTGGGCCACAATGAGAACTAAAGAGCAAAATAGAAACATATCTGTTAATGGAGGAATTGTTGGGGCGGGGAATGGGGTCCTGGAGCCTTTCTGCCTCTGGTCTCTGGCAGCCTCTCGTTGTCTCGGGCCCCCACTCTGTGCGTAACCCTGTCTTTCTTTTATGGGCAGAAGGAGATTCTGCAGCACATCCTGCACTACATTCTGTACCTCCAGAGAAACATTGACGTGGCCAAGGCCTTGCTCCAATTCCACACCGCCAATGGGGAAGGTGGAGCTGGGGGTAAGTCCGTTTCCCAGGGCCTGCTCCATAAGTATTGTCCTGCTGTCAGGGACCCTGAGTGACTTCACCCATTCCAGGCCCTCCAGGATCACACAGCCTCACATAGGGGCAAAGTCAGAAGAGGGTGTCTGGGAAGACTGTGGGGGGAGGGGTCTTGGAGCTGGGCCTTGGAGGACAGTAGAAGGGGGAGCCCTGCCAAGTGGAAGAAACAATCTGAGCCAGAGCGTGCAGGCATGAGAAGACATGTGTGGAATGTCTGGGGACAGGCAAGCAGATGGGTGTGGTTGGAGGGGCCACGTAGCATCGAAAGGACAAGTGCAGGCTCTTGAGCCAGATCCTGACTCAGATACACGTCTTGTTACCATAACCTCTCTGTGCTTCTGTTTCCTCATCTGCAGAACGGGACTAAGACTAGTACTCCCCTCCTGTGTTTGTGTGAAGATTAAATGAGTTGATACAAGTGGAGAGTATTGTAGCACAATGCCTAGAACACACCAGTCATCCAGTGCTGTATGTGCTGGGTGCTATCATTACTGGTGTAAAACATACACAGGCAAGAAGGGTAGGAAATGAGGAAGAGACGAGATCCTGAAGGGCTTCGAGCCCTGAGGAGGGAGATGAAGATGAGACTTACTGAAGGACTTTCAGCCAGGGCAAGCCATGATCAGGTTTTTGCACAGTTTTTTAAAATTATTATTTTAAAATGGTCTCTGTGAAGATCTTTGACATATTTTAAATATATTTTTATTGATTTCAGAGAGGAAGGAAAAGGAAAAGAGAGATAGAAACATTAATGATGAAGGAGAATCATTGATTGGCTGCCTCCTGCATGCCCCATACTGGGGATTGAGCCCGAAACCTGGGCATGTACCCTGACCGGGAATTGAACCAGTGACCTCTTGGTTCCTGGGTTGACGCTCAACCGCTGAGCCACACTCGGCTGGGCTGCAGGGTTTTTTAGATAGAGGTCCCTAACATCTAGTGTGGAGGATTGGTTATTAAGTGAGAAACTGGAGTCAGGGAGATCAGTGAACAAACTTTCAGGGGTGGGCCAGTCAGGAGACAATGCGGCCCCATCTGGCACGGTCGCTGAGTGTAGGCAGAAGAGGGTACATTTGGGAGATGTTAATGAGGAAGAATTGAGAGGCCTCAGGGAGAGAAGCTGGTGACCCAGGATGGGTGGTGGAGCCCTCACTGTCTTGAGGAAGGCAGGAGGAGGAATTGGTTTGGGGTGGGAAATATGGGGGCAAATTTGGGAAGCACTGAGTCTGTCCTCCCTGTCAGCCAAGGCCCAGAATGGCCTGGGGAAACCCCAGTGTTCGCCCTGCACCTTTGGTGCCCGACTGTGCAACCTCAGACAAGTCTGATCTCCTCCATGGACTGCGGTGGACCACCCCGCACCCTGCCCCCATTGGGAGGCATTGTCTGGGAGGGAGGATTTGGGAGGGCATGACCTCTCTCCTTCTTTGTCCTGTGCAGGGCTGGGCCGGAACTCCGCTGTGGGCTCACACAGCTGCCCACACTCCTCTCAGTCCTACCTTTGGGAAGCCTGTCGGAAACCTAGGAAGAAGAAGCTGACCCGAGCGTCAGGTACAAGCTGTCAGTGGAGGCAGATAGAAAGTTGGGGTCAGATGGAAGGGGGCTCCTTCTCCAGGGTCATCACTCCCCTGGGAAGCCCAGTCAGCAATCCTGAGCCCCTAACGAGGCTTCAGAGTCGGACACGCCTGGGTTCATTTTCTGGCTCTTTGTCTTATTTACAAGGGTGCACTGTCCTCTGAGCCTCATCCTCCTCATCTGGAAATTGCAGTTCCTGCCACAGGGAGGTCTTGAGGACGAGGAGCCTGAAAACGTGCCACTCAAGCAATGCTTAAGTGGAGAGGCATATGGTCGGCTCCCAGTGAAGGGAAGCTACTGTCAGCATTTATTGTCTTTATGGCCAGTAACCCATCCCCGGGCCAGCATCAGGGAGCATGGACACCAGGGAGGAAAGACCTACGAGTGAAAGACCAGTGTCCTGGGTCCAGCCTCAGCCTTGCTATAACTCATTACACGTCCTCTCCCTTTCGAGGGCCTCCGTTTCCATGTCTTTAAAATGGGAGTTGGACCTAGTCAATGATGTCCAGCCCTGGCTGCACATCTGAATCATCCAGGCGCCTTAAAAAGTGCCTGTGCCTGTGTCTCACACCCAGAAGGCCGGGTCTCAGTGGTCTGAGGTGCACGCTGGGCTTCAGTATTTTTTCAGAGCTGGCAAGGTGGTTCTAGCCCAGCGATGGCGAACCTTTTGAGCTCGGCGTGTCAGCATTTTGAAAAACCCTAACTTAACTCTGGTGCCGTGTCACATATAGACATTTTTTGATATTTGCAACCATAGTAAAACAAAGATTTACATTTTTGATATTTATTTTTTATATACTTAAATGCCAATTAACAAAGAAAAATCAACCAAAAAAATGAGTTCGCGTGTCACCTCTGACACACGTGTCATAGGTTCGCCATCACTGTTCTAGCCTACAAATAGGGGAAGGGCGTGTCAGACTGTGACCTGTAGCTAAGGATCCAGGCTTATCCAGGAAGCGCTGACGAGTGACTAGGCCAGGCAAAGCTTTGAAACAGGTGTCTGGGCCCAGAGCAAAGAAGACCTCCCACCTGAGCCATCGTCTAGTGACAAGGCCCCAGCCCCATCTGATGCCATCGCTCTGCTGTCCCAGACGCCAGACCCGCGCCCAGAACCCTTGTTGCTGTCTGGCCCTGTCAAGCCCAAGAAGCAGGTGACCCCACCCCCAGACCAGAAGGGAGGAAACGTGGAGGGGACCAGCACTCCTCCAAGATGCTGCATTGTCTTTTTTTAAAAAAATATATTTTATTGATTTTTTACAGAGAGGAAGGGAGAGGGATAGAGAGTTAGAAACATCAATGAGAGAGAAACATCGATCAACTGCCTCCTGCACACCCCCTACGGGGGATGTGCCCGCCACCAAGGTACATGCCCTTGACCGGAATCAAACCTGGGACCCTTCAGTCCGCAGGCCGATGCTCTATCCACCGAGCCAAACTGGTTAGGGCGATGCTGCATTGTCTTTGCCTTAAGGTGACAGAAATGGAGGAAGGTCCTGGCTGACATTGCTGAATGTGGCTAAGAACAGCGTTACTGCTGATCTTCCCTCACCATTAATTTAGCCAGTCATTTATACACCCCTTATTAGGCATCCGCAACATCCACGCACAGTCCTGGTTAGCTGGGACTTCAACGGTGGACAAGAGAGACACTGTCTCTCACCTCACACAGCTATGGTCTCTTTCCCAGTTTTCTTTTCCCTTCAGGCTCTGCTGTGGGTGTAAGGGTGGGACAGAGTCAGTGCCACCCTTGTGTGAGGGCTGCGAGTGGCAGAACTGTAGGGACTCCCTGTCCCTGTACCAGCTTCAAAAGGTGTGATGGCTCACTCAGCAGAGAGCCAGGCGAGAAAGTGGGCAAGGGAAGACATGGCCTGAGCCATTCTATCCTCTATCCACCTGTTCATTCAGCCCTGACTCTCTAAGCATTGCTTCGGCCAGGCCATGTGCTGGGTGCTGGGGACAGTCCAGTGAAGGAGCCACACACTATCACTGATATTCCAGAATGGTCCCAACTTCCTGGGGTTGTCCAGGGAGCATGAGGGACCCAGAGGAGGCGCCTGACCCACCTGGGGAGGGAGGGCTTCCCAGTTCAGCTAGTTATGTGGCTTTGGGCAAATTACTTCACAGCTCGATGCCTCAGTTTACTTAACTGTAAAATGGGGGTAATAATGATTCTCTTTCACAAAGGGTCAGTATGTAGCATGCTTACAGCTTACAACTGTGCTGGCCGTGGTAAGCACTCTGTACTTGTTTGCTATTATCATCTTCATCATCATTATTCCCCTTATGGATAGCTTCTGATAAAGGAGTGGAATCCCTAGTGCTGATTTGGGTGGCCCCTGAGCCTCATGCAGAGGTCCCAAAGCTTGAGGTTTTGCCTAGGATGGGGGCGGGAGAGGCTGTGGCAGACCCTGGCACCTCTTCATCCCTGCATCTGTGAGTCTGCAGTTCGTCCCAGGCAGAGGAGTGATCACCCTAAATTGCCTCCTTAGGCAAAAACAATGTCCAGGATGATGGGCTTTACCCTGACTTCGGGGCCCAGTACGGGGTCGAGAGGACCTATTTTCTCTACAGAACACAGCCCTATCCCAGGTAAGAAAATGCCAAGGGCTCTGAGTGGGGGAGACTGAGGTGTTTGGTCTGGAATGGCTGAGGGGCAGTGAGAAATGAGGCTGATTTACATCTGATGGTGTCTGTGGCATGAGCACTGCTGTGGGCCCAGCTTTCCGCAGGCATCATGAGCTCGAAGGAGAGATGGGCCCCAGCCTCTCACCGGTATCCCTGTCTCCCGTCTCACCCTTCTAAGCCACCCTTACTAGTCACACAAACTTGGACCATGTCAGTTCATGGCTTAAAGCCCTCCCTCAGAGCCCAAATATCTTCACTGGTATTTGAGAACTTCTCTGGCTTCAGCTCACCTTGCCAGCACCCTCTCCTGCCCCTCACCCATGAAACTTACCCTTAACACTTGCAAATACTCACCACTCCCCATGGGAACCATGCCCTTGCCCCCTCTGGGCTCTTCATACTCTGATCCCTCTTCCCAGCAAGCCTGGTCCGCTCATCTACTTGGAAAACTCTACCTCCTTCAGGCCACGCTCAGTGCTATCCTCCTCCTGCCCTGCCCACTGACCTCCCCCACCCCCATAACTGTGTGGTCAGTGCCTGATTACAGCTGTCTCTCCTCACAAACCTTGAAGCTCTATGAGGGCAGCACCTCAAGCTGACTAAGCTTTCTGCCCCAGCTCTCCCCAGCAGCCAGCATGGAGTGATCCCTGTCTTACCTCACAGTGGGCAACACTGAGTCACCCAACGGGGAGACAGCTCCCTCAGGGGCACAGCAATTCCCAGCCTAGGGCTCCGGCTCTGCCTCTTGAATTCCACCTCTTGCAGGTACCAGCTGGTGCTCTACGATTCCAGTGAGGAGATGGACAAGGAGGCCCCAGACACTGACCCTTGGCTTCCTGCCTGGACCCCAGAGGGCAGCCCTCATGGTGACTGAAACTCTGTCTCTCTTCCTTGTAGGCTGGTGTGGGGCCTTCTTGGTACCTTCCTTCTGAGGATTTCAGTAGAAGGGGAAAGTGGGAAAGGTGAATAGATGTCTGCTAAGCACAGGGATGGCAAGTCACTAGCCATTGGTTGCCATGGCAGATATTGTTAATCAAGCATCACTGTTTCTGGTGATCCCAGACAGTACCTCAGAATCTTTCTTAACATACAGCTCCAGGTAGCTACAATCATTCTATCAGATCTGACACCTGATAGAATGATACTGACTAGAGAGGCCCAATGCACGAAATTCGTGCAAGAGTAGGCCTTCCTTTCCCTGGCTGCCGGCACCGGCTTCCCTCTGGCACCCAGGACCCAGGCTTCCCTCACAGCCCCGGCTTCATCAGGAAGGCCATCCAGAAGGACGTCCGGAAGGACATCTGGTCTAATTAGCATATTATGCTTTTATTATTATAGATTTTTTTTTTTGCCATCCCTGGCATAATGACAGACATTGTGCCTCTTAATTTCCTCTACCAAGCACTGAAAAGGAGCAGTTGACAGTCATCTTTCCCCAGTGTCTGGCACCATCTCCTCAAAGCCAGCGGGGGCAGAGGGCAATCTGTGACCACACCCCAAGCTTGATGTTTCCTTTTCAGGAAGCCCACTGGCCTTGGAGCCTCCCCACATTGACAACTGGAGTGTGATGGGCCAACCGAGCGAGATCCTAGGTCTCAGTCCTTCCCTCTTCAGCTCCCCAGGGAAACTGCTGCCAGAACAGGTCTTGGAGGATGGCAGCGAGTACCTGACCCAAGGTGAGCCTACAGGGCTGGACCTGGTCCTAGGTCCGTTCAGAAAACACACGGTGATGCCCACCAAGTAAGTGTGCAGCCTTGTGCTGGGCAGTGCTGGATGCCCAGGGATGAATGCTGTCCGGGCCCTGCCTCGAAGAGCCCATAGCCTAGTGGGTGTGTGGGGGAGCCCCAGGCCAGCGTGGGGAGTGGAAGGCTCCAGAAGCCTGCAGCAGGGACCAACTCGCTCTGCCTAGGGTAGAGGTGGCCCAGGGGAGCTGGCCTGGGAGCTAGATTTGAATATGGCGGAGGAGATCCAGAAACCTGGAGAGTGGCACAGAGCCCTGGTGCCGTGAGGGAGCCATTTTCATCCTAGCCAACCTCTGCCTTCCCTCCCGGACAGCTCTCTTTGAAGAAGTTTTCTTAGATCCCGTGTCTTCACCTTCTGCCTGCGTGCTGGAAGTACCACCGAAGAAGGTAGGCATCGCTCCACCCCTCCATCCACAGGAACGGTCGTCCTGCTTTCCACGAGTCACTCACCGGCTCGATTCACTCATCCTTCCCCTCAACGTTTCCAGAGACTCCTCTGCTCATCCTTTGAATGCTCACTGTTGGCCACAGGCGCCCACTCTGTGCTGGGCACTTGGAATGAACTAGACAAAAGGGATGAAAGCTAAAAGGTTGTCAGGGCCTGGCTGGTGTGGCTCAATGGTTGACCATCAGCCCACAAACCAGGAGGTTGCGTTTCAATTCCTGGTCAGGGCACATGCTCAGGTTGCCAGCTGGTCCCCAGTAGGGGGGCATGCAGGAGGCAGCCAATCAATGATTTTCTCTCACAATTGATGTTTCTATCTATTCCTCTCCCTAAAATCAATTATTTATATATATATATATATATATATATTATATATATATATATATATATATATATATATATATATATATATATATATATATATATATATAAACTGCTAGGTGCCCATAAAAGACCCCACATAATATTACAACTGCTCTATGAGACCAGCATCTCTGGGACCCCATTTGACAGAAAATAGATGAGCAACCTCAGGAATCCTCAATTGGAAAGAGCTCCCTCCAAAGCCCCCACACTGACCACTGTGGCCACTGTCTGCTCCAGGAGCCACTCACCTGCTCGATTCACTCATCCATCCCCTCTATCCATCTGGCAAAGGGGCAGCCCTAGCCCTGGTCCCCAAACCATTCTTCCTCCAATGTGTGTGGGCGGGGCACTGCCTCAATGAGTAGTTGAATGGGCAGCAGTAGGAAAATAGATGCCCTTAGTGGAGCCTTTAGAAAGTGCCTGGCTCTGTGCTAGGTGCTTCTCGGCCTTCAAGACGTGTAGTGAGCGCTATTCTGTAGGTGAAATTGATGCTGAGAGAAGTTAAGACTTGCCCAGGACATCATGGCTACCATGTGAAGTGGTAAACTGATAAAACAGGAGGCAGAAGAACTCAGCCCCATAGAGTCCCTCTCTGACCCCTGTGGGAACTTGGGAACATTTGTTTGAATGTCCAATGGGTGTTTGGATGAGGTTGTCTTGAATCTGAGACGTTTCTCATGCTCATTTCCTAGGAGAGCAGTGAGTTGGGGCATGAAGGGACACCAGTGTCTGCTCACATCCCCTCCCAGGACACACCCCCTGAGGCCCCCGAAGACCTTTCTGACTCCCACAGCCCGTGCCTGTCCTCAGTGTCACTGGGCCACCTCTCGCTGAGTGAGGACAGCCAGGCATCGTCCATCCCCAGCTCTGAGGGCATGGACACCGACATGGACACAGAGCTGGTGTGGAGGCAGCAGGTGAGGGGGGCAGCCATTGAGGTGGGTCCTGCCTCTCCTGCCAGCTCTCATCTCTCTGCCCCCACCCAGGAGGCTCAGGCCAACCCTGAGGACCTGAAGTTCTCGAGCGATGAGGATGGAGACTACACATGGACCCCCACCCGGCAGGAGAAGAGCAGGAGGGGCCAGGCAGACAGGGGCCCCATGATGCTCAAGAACAAGAAAGACTCCTGCCCCACTCAGCCGAAGAAAAAGTGTGTCAATGGCTTCATCATGTTCTGTAGGATGAACCGGAAGCAGTACATCCGGTGGGTGAGGGTCCTCTTTGGCTGCCCGCCTCCCAGAGCATGTTGCCCGCTGCTGGCTGACCCATTGGCCCCGTCCTCAGCCACATATTCCCCCAGCATCTCACTTGGCCCCACTGCATTGGTCAGGGCCTGTCCATTGTAAGCAGAGAAACCCACCTCAGACTTAAGAAAAATAGGACATTAATAGCTTTTATAACCTGAAAAAAGACAGGGGTAGATTAGGTTCAGATGTGGGCCCAAGCGCTCACAAGATGCTGTCTGGAGCCCTTGTCCCTCTCGTGGTGGGCTTCAGCCTCAGGCAGGTGGGGCCGGCTGGGCAAGGTCACTCCTGGAAGGTCAGGCTCATGTCCTGGCCCCCATCCTAGCAACCTTGTGGGAGGAGAGCTCCTCATTCCTCAGGTTGCAAGAAAAAGTTCTTGAGTCTGACTTGGTAGATCAGGAGCCCAACCCGGAACCCATCGTTGCCAGTCTGAAGCCGGGGGATGGGAGGCCCCCAAGCCACAGGGGAGAAGAGCTGGTACCCTTATGGGAAGATCCAGGGGCTTATATTGGGAGCAGCGGATATGAGTGGCGTCTTCCCAACAACCATTTAGTCAGCCTCCCCCTTTCTGATGCCTCAGCTCCAGGGTGTGTAATGGGGGTCTTTCGAGATCTCTAACACAGGGGGAAAGAGCTGGGTCCTCAAAGGGAAAGCTGAGGCTCTGAGAGGGCAAGGGTCAGGTCAGACCTGGGTCTTTGCCCAAGCAGGCCTCTCCTTACCGCCTCCCTCCTGTCCCAGAGCCTGCCCGGGGACTGCGTCCACAACTGCCACCAAACAGCTGGCCCAGCTCTGGCGGGAGATGACGGAGCAGGAGCGCAGACCATACAGGTGAGCAGCCCAGCGGCCTGCTGGGGCGGAGGGCCTCCACTCCTCAGCCCTGCGCCGGCTGTCAGAGCCTTGAGCTTCATGAGACTGGAAACAGGCTGGGAGTTTCCTGGGGTGGGAGGTTTGGGTGTTGCAAACTTTTATGAAATATTTGGGGGTGACAGAGATAGAAAGGTGCTCTACCTTGGAGCTTAGAAGAGAAAGTACCTTAATTTGGAGTTGGCCCCCGCTGCCCTAAATTTCTTTTGCCCTCTCTGCTGCAGGGCATTTCTCAGAGCAGGAAACTGGGTCTTCCCTTTCACTTGACCTCCTCCCTCTCTCCCCTCTTCCCTCTCCCCTCCCTTCCGGAAACCCCCTCCTCTTCACCTCGGAGCGGCCACCTGCCTGTTTCTCAGTTGGCCCTCAGTGTGCAGGGATTGTAACAGGAGTGTGGGGCTTCCGAAAAGAGCCCCTGGTGGAGTCCTATTGCATAGGCCGGGCCCAGAGGTTCGCCCGCCCCGTGGGACCAGGTAAAGCCCTGGCCTCCCTTTCAGCTCAGGCCTGGCCACTGCAGGGCCAGAGCACCAGTGGTGAGGCAGGGCCCGAGAGGCCAGTGAGGGACCGCCCATCCCACTGCCTCTCCCCCCAGCATCAAAGCTCGAAGGTTCAGCCGCCAGCACAATCGGATTGTGAAGCAGGAAAGCTCCAGCAGCGAGGACGAGGACTGGGGGATCCCCAAGCCCTTCTACCAGCTGCTGGCGGACAGGGCCCGCTGTTCCTCACAGCCCGCCTCTCAGCTGCCTGCTGGCCACAGATGAGAGGGTAACCACTTCACCTCTCCTCCCTCACCACCTCGCAGCTCCACAGCTCGTTTGAAACCTGGAGCCAATGAGGAAGAGGTTGCCCCCTCCTGGGCCTCAGCCCTGCTAGGCAGGTCTCCTTGGCCAGTTCCCTCAGGCTGGGAGGGGGTGGATTCGTTGACCCTCTGCTTTGTGTGTTTGCCATGTATGTGGGCAGCTGAACTCTGCCCTTCTCACAGCTCCTTTCTTCCCTGGGGAAGGAAGCTCTGAATGAAATGCAGGGAGAAGTTAAGGAGATGGGGCTTCCCTCTAACCTGCCTTTGTCCACCCCAGAATCAAATGGTTTCAACCCTGTTCATTCTCACCTTATCCTACTCCTCCCTCCCCTGTTCTATTTATAGGTTATTTATTGTTGCCAACAAAATAAAGTGGAACCTTTGTTACCAGCAAGGGAGACTAGGCAGGCTGCCTTGGTCCCCTGCTCCCGCAGCCCTGGGGGCGCTCCTTCCACCTGGATCTGGGGGCTCCAGGGTCCCCTGCCTTTTGAGAGAAATCACACTCTCCGCACCACAAACATGGTTTCCACCCCAGCCCCTCAGGGTGCCGGGATCAGAAAGCCAGAATCTCAAATTGGGCTTCGTGTGGTTCAGCTTTTCTTTAGGAAAGTTGTTTGGAAAGTAACCCACACTCCCGGAGCTTTTAGTTATCCTGTTAACTTTATTTTAACTGAAATGTAGGCATAACATGTCCTAGAAAAATAAAGATTTAGGATACAAACTAGACACGGGGGTCAAGGTTGCCCCGCGGGTGAGGGGATCTTTGGTCTGGGGCTGGACGTGATAATGAGGGCTGTCGTCCAGGGGGAGCAGAGGGGAATCCTCGCCCAGGCCTCCCCACACCTGCATTGTGTTGCAGCTGGAAGAGCCCAGCTGGGAGGCTGTCAGTCCCTGGGCATAGGACTGCTCCACCCTCAGATTCCAAGCAGTTCTGAGAACTCTGGAGGTCAATGGAGCTATTAATAGTGTTTTAGGGAGTGATAGGGAGAGGGCTCAAGGGGGTTGGATGTCCAGCCATTTTGCAGGGTTTTCAGCTCACAGCTCGTACCAGGTCAAGGGGGGCAGAGCCCCTGAGTCAGGACCCCCCAGATCTCCCCATGTATATGGGGCAGAATAAGGAGAGGGCTGTAACAGAGGAGGCTTCCCATCCAGAGGGACGGTGCCCTTGGACAGGGGTGAGCCCCGCACGTCCCAGGGCTTGGAAGTTAAGCAGCCGGGGGTAGGGTGTAGTGTCTGTGGAATCCTCAGATCAACAACTGTTTCTGAAAGGTTCCCTTCTCCCAGCTGTCCTGGATCTCAAGCACCATTGTCAGGAGAGGCGATGAGGCCTGGCGGGGTCACAGTTCCAAGGGCTCTTCCACAGGCACTGACTGTAGCTGGGTCAGGACCTTGGTCTCAGCTTCCAGCCCCTCCTCCACCTCACCCCCTGCTGTGGCCCCCAGGAGCAGCCCCTCAGGGTCAGGGTCTGGGAGCCTCAGCACAGCGTGGGGGGCCTGGGTCCCCAGCCCCTTCTCCGCTTCTAGCAGCCCCTCTGTGCCTGTGCTCAGTTCCAGTCCCGATGGCCAGATGGGCACAGCTGCAGGTGACAGCATGAGGCCCTCAGGTGGGGGCGCAGGGAAGCCAGCCAGGAGGCAGGAGGAGTCTGGGGAGAAGGGCAGGCTGGCAGCAATGGTGGCGGCAGGGGCAGGTGGTGGCTGTGGCAGCTGCTGGGCAGAAAGTGCGCCGAGGGCGTGGGCCTCTGGGAGAGCAGGGCTGGGAGCCACAGGAAGGGCTCCTTCGGGCACGGAGATGGCCGTGTCTGGCTTCAGGGGCAGGGCCAGGCTGGGGGCAGGCGGCAGGACCTGGGAGACCAGCATGCTGGTGGGGAAGGTGGCCGTGAGGATGATCTTGCCCTGCTGCACGGCCACACCTGTCACGATGGGGCTGCCAGACACGGGGTTGGCCAGGAGGAAGTTTCCTGTGGGGAGAGACGTCAGGGCACAGGGTTAGAGGGGCTGCTGGCCGGGAGCAGAGGTGGCAGTTAAGCTGCTGGAAGGCAAGAGGAAGGAGATTAGCCAGAGGCAAACCGACCCCCCTCAGAGCGGGACTAAGTCTGGGTGGTTTGAGCCTCCACACAACCCGGCACAGGGGGCTTCTGGGACATAGCAGGGATGAGCTACCCCCAACCCAAGCCCACCAACAGCACTCTCCCTCCCCGAGATAACTACCCCCACCCAGGCTGGACGGAGGCAGAAGGGGGTACCTGGGGCAGTGGCCGGAGGCAGCTGCAGGGCAGTCACGCCCACCCCGGAGTTTATCAGGTGCACATTAGTAGGGCCCGCGGTAGCTGCCACCTTCACGGGGCTGCCTGGCCCAGCTGCCAATAGCTGCAGTGGCCCCACAGCTTGTGGCAGAGTCACCACCTGTGAGGTGGGCACCACCTGGGGCAGATTCAATAGTGGGGAGGTGGGGCCCAGGCCTGCAGGGTACCCAGGGGGTGGGGAAAGGGGCACCACTTGTGGAGCAGCCACAGAAGCCACTGGTCCTGGGGGCAGAGGAAAGGCAGCAGCCGGCGGGGGCCCAGGCACCACTTGGGGCAGAGGCACTGGCACCTCCTCTCCAGGTGTTCCCAGAGCAGCCACCTGGGGCTTGGTCTCAGGGGCCTCAGGCTGAGCCTCCTCCAGTCGAACCTCCCCGGTCTGAGGGTCCAGGACCAAGGAGGTCTTGCCCTCGCTGGGCCCCGGGGGACTAGGCTGTGGTGGTGGGGCGCCCCCACCCCCTGTGAGCAGCAGGGGGCCCAGGCTGGAGGCTTCACCCAGGGCCAGGCTGTTGATGATGACAGGGCTCCCATTGAGCAGCACCGCTGGTGAGCTGCTGGCAGCCAGGAAACTCCCGTTCACCAGGATGGAGGAAGAGGCAGGGCATGGCGCAGGAGGGGCGGCCCCCGCCAGGAATATGGAGCCCTGGGCAGGGGCCTCCGTGGCCACTGGAGCCACCCCCCTCTCCAGGTCCTCAGGACTGCGGCTGGACTCATCCTCGGTAGTGGGGTTCCCATCAGACTCGCTGTTCAGAGAAAGGATTGTGAGTTGTGGCCCTGAATGCTGTTTCCCCACTGGCCAGCCAGCTTCCCGCACAGAGCTGCAGGAGCCGCCCCCTCTTTCCCCAGCCCAAACTTTTGGGGACAATGGGGGGATGCGGGCGGGGGAGTATGAAGCCTCCTCTCTGAGACCACCTAAGGACCCCGCGGGCAGAGCCTCTGCAAGCCCTGCGTGGACATCACTGCATAAAAGCTGAAGCTGTCCCAAGCCGGAGTGAGGAGGCCGGGCATCCAGGCTGCCCGGTCTCGGGGTCGGGCTGAAAGCAGCCTGGAGGCGGCGGAGAGCCGGGAGGTGGCGGCCAGCTCAGTTCTCGGTGCCCTCCCAGGGCGTCAGAGAGGGCGGGAGAGGCTGGCGTGCTGGGTGGGAGGGGAAGGGCTTGGGTTACAGGGAAACCGGAGCTGGGGAAGGTTCACGTTTCACAACAAAGACAGACGACGGACCATGCCGTTTGGGCCCCGAGGGGGGGGCGGGGGCGGGGAAGGGTGTGTGAGAAAGCGCCGGGGTCGGGGAAGGACCGGGCAGCGCGGCGGCCAGAAAGAAGCCCCGACGCCGGGTGCGGGAACAAAGGCCCCTCCCTCTTTCCCCGTGGCCCCCTTTTCTCCCTGTCTCCCCCAGTCTAGCCACCCACACGGATGGGGATCTAGGATGGGGTCCTGAGTGGAGCGGAGGAAAGAGGTCGCCCAGCCTCCGCGAGAGAAGCAGCGATGTTGGGGAGAGGGCCGGGACGTGTGCCCTTGGCATCCTCACTATTCCTCACGCCTGGCGGGCGCCGGAGGGTGTGAGCCGGAGGCATCTGCGGACTTGGCGCGGACTCCGGCAGCGGGTTCGGGAGAGGGGGCTGGTGGGTGGCACGTTCCCGGGAAAGCGGGACTTGCGCCGCCCGGGTCCCCTCACCTCTTGCAGGGCGCGCCGCCGCCGACCCCGGTCCGGTCGCGCTGTCGCCGGTTCTTGAACCAGTTGCTGACCTGCGTGAGCGAGAGGCCGGTCAGCGTGGCCAGGCGGCGCTTCTCGTCCGGCGTGGGGTAGCGGTTGCCGCGGTAGCAGGCCTTGAGCGCGGCGCGGGAGCGCTCCTTGAAGCAGTAGACGGTCTCCTCGCCGTCCCAGATGGTCTTGGGCAGCGGGAACTTCTTCCGCAGGCGGTACTTGTCCACTGCGCCCAGCGCGCGGCCCCGGGCCCGCTCGGCCTCGTGGTAGCGCGCGCGCAGGTAGAGGTCCTGCAGGAAGGCGTGGTGGGCAGCGGGGAAGGGGCGGCTCTCGAGCAGCCGGTAGAGCTCGGCGTACTCGCCCCGCTGGAAGGCCACCAAGGCCACGAGCGCGCAGCACCGGGTCGCTGCCACGTAGGCGCTCGCCGGGGG